AACCTGCAAGGGCCATAATCTGGCTCCTGAGGATCTTCTCTTAAGGATATCACTAAGAGAGCTAGGAGGATCAGGACAGGCAGTTGCCAAAAAAAGAAATGTAAAAAAGCCCAAAATAACCAAATACATTTGCCCTAGAGGACTGCCAGGTCCACAAAGCTCTAAAAGTTATAGACGCTTTTACTGGAATTGTAATTCGCATACAGACTTCTTTTCCCCAGGACAGGCATTTACGGAGATCCAAGTACTCTTTAAAAGGAATTTGGGTATAAGCAAATGACTCTTTCCTACAGGGGATTTAACTTCTCAAGTCCCCACTCAAACAGCAGGCTGATATTCTGCTTGAAGTTAAGAATAAGAGTGAACCCAGTGGTCCCAACTGTGCCACAAGTCCAAGATGTGAGCTCCTGTTGAGCACCTGAAGAGACTCTAGTCAATCCAAGCTTTCATTCTGTGGCTGTAGCCACATGAATACTTTTTTTTTTTATGGCCATAAACAGAAGAGAGAGTTCAGCAGTGCAAGTACGCCCTGTTTAAGCTTCCAATTCAACACATTCAGTGAAATGGAAAATACCAAGTGATATCTTTGCAAGTTGGTTCAGCTATAGTGTTTTAAAGTATTGAGATAATTTCTCAGCTGTTTGTAATGTGAGAAGACCCACTTTGGGATAATATTAGTAATGCCTCTTTCTTCTGTGTTCTTTACCCATGGCTTCCAAAGTGGAGTTTTTTGTTTGTTTCTTTTTTACAAAAGATGTTTCATTAAATTAATTCTTTATATTGAGGATATTAAAGAGGTGAAGTGATGTGCTTAGAAAAGCCATACAAAGCAGAACCATCATTTCCATCGTTTCTATCTTCCTACCTCCTGGCTAGGCTTTGGAAGAATAAAACCTCTTATGCTCTCTTATGGGCTGCCTGCTGTGCAGCAGGGATCCAGTTCAAACACTCTAAAACATGAACCCAATAGATTTTCAAACTGTTGATGTGAGACTCCTTTACTGGCCACTCTCGGGTCAGGCTGTGATGGCTGTTGATCTGCAGCTGCAGTGGAAAGCAATTCTGGGTGCGCTATCAGAGCAGCACTCAGAGTCCTACAGCTGGGGATTCATCCTTCCTCCCCCTCTTTTATCCCGTGTTCCCTGTCCAGCTATGAGGCTGTTGTGTATCTAGACAGCTCAGCAGTTGAGCTGCTGGTGGTGAATGTTAACAGAGCAGTTTACATGCCTTGTGTCATAAGCCCTGTAAATACTTAGTAAAACATGGTATTTAATGGAAGCATATCAGCTCATTTTAAAGCTTCTTCACCTGGTGCTGAGCAAACTGTTGCTGCGCTGCCTTTTTAATCAGTTACCACCAAATGTGTGCACATGTGAGAAGGGTTTTAAACATTTCTCTGTCCACTTCCAGGCAACTAACCTACAAGCCTACAATCCTCTTATTATGCCTTCGAAACAGACTCCATTCACTGTTATCTACAGCACATGTTATCGTAGGGTATTCTGCAGAGCCAGGCTTACAGAATATATCCCTAATGTTTCTCGTACACCAGCTACATATCAGTTAGACACAGACCTACCACGCACACACGTACCTCTGAAGGAATGTGTAACAGGGCGTTCAGGAAGTTACACCTGATGCAGTGCTTTGTTTGCAGGATGAAAATACAAGAGACGCTCAAGCAGTAACCATTACTGATATAATGCTAACTGAGGCCTGAGACATTCATGCAACCATGTTAACTCTCTATGTTACAAGAGGCCAGAAATTCAGTACTCCACAGGGTGCTGTTATCCCATCATATATGTCCCAAACATATACCCCCTGCACAGACTGATGGAAGACCCTTCACTCCCGGATTTCACTTAAATAGTGCAGCCTTAGGGGCAAATTTGGTTTTACAGAACATACCAGGTGTAATCCTCTAAATTCTGAATCTTTGAGGTATTTCATTTAGGAGAATACATTCAGTCATGCAAACTGGAGTAGTTTGGAACAGATTTCCACTTTTAATGGTATCTTCCCTTCCTTTTTTAAAAATTTTCTTACTTTCTTATTGAAAAAAGTTACTGTCCACACTAACAATGTCTGAATTCAAATAACACTTACCAGACTGAAAGTCTGTCTCCCATTTTCATGCATGTAAGGTATCCATTTATCTCAATAATTACAAAGTATGTTTCAGTCACACAAGTGTGATATGTAGAAACATATCTATTACAGGCTCACGTAGGTGTTTGTATAGATCACAGAGTGAGCACGTAAACCCTGAGGAACATGAAGAGATTTAAAAAAACCCCAGACCCAACAAACCTAATCCACTTACATAATGGCATCAAAGGGAGTGGTACTATGATCTTATTTGCCATCAATGCTGTAAGGGAAGAAACTGGCAGGTAGAATTACATGCCACCAGTGCAAACAGAAGACTGTTCAGAGTTTGTTCAGTTTTCTCACCTGTCAACAGGAACAACTTTAGGCTAAATTAGTATTTTTGTAGAAACTGGAGATCCTCATTTGTTTTGGTCTCTACATGGAGCCAGTATTCTGAATGTGGGGTGTGATCTGCTTTGTAGTCTCTGTTCAAGGCCATGGGTTCCCTGAATTTGAGGCTGTCTCAGTCTGCACTTCTTAATCCAACACTACAAGATTGGAACGATTCTAGCCTCCCTGATCCTGTTTCTATTAAAAGCAAAACAAAACAAAAAACTCCACAGCCCAGTAACATCACAGTGGGATGAACAAAGTTTTAAGAAATACATCTCTGAAGGCAGATTTCCTGAATACTTGCCCTATCAGTTCACGGTTTTGGGGCTTGCTGTATTTTCATTTATTTGCTTGACTTGCTGCCTGCATGTAGCTAGATAGTTAACAGAAGCATGCCTGTCCTTGGAGGACAATATGAGCTGACTGGCTGTGTCTTTGGTTCAGGTCCATTAAAAAATCTGAGCATTAATTAATCACTGACTTGCAAATAGCTTGGAAGGGCTGTTCAGGCTAAATTGGAACGTTCTGCAATTGTTTTACTTTTGGTCACAGGCACTTCGGTGATGCCAGGATAGGATGTGCATAAATCCAGCCACTCCTGTGTTAGAGCAGACCAGCCTAGAGACTGCTTCAAGTAGCTCCATTTCTTTCTCTAACTAGGAAACTGCACACATGAGGAAGAGCTGTCATAAGCAGCACTCTTGATAGAATCCCTCCATTGAAAAGGAAATAATGAAACCTACCAGGGCAAAATGCCAGTGGAGTGTACTACATGGGCAAAGAGCCTTCCCTGCTTTGCTGTCTGCCAGGCGGGTCAAAGCCAGCTTCTCCTCCTTTTTCACTCAGCTAGGTGAAACCGTAACTGTAGAAATCAAGCTGCTGCTTGAGCTTTCCATCCATCACCACCAAGAAGGATCTCTGATCTGGGGCCTGTTTTCTGTGCTCTAGCTGTTGATGGTCACAGTGAATGAACTGAGAATGATGCAGCTCTGTCTGCAGAAGGCAAGCCAAGCAAATAGAGATGTTAGACCCCACACCTGAAACCTCTGTAGTGTGAAGCACGAAACAAAAATCTTCATGGAAAGGGACACTAAGCCAGCATGACCTACAAGTCATGAAGAAAAACATATTCAAGGGAATCATGAACTCATTTGTATAGGGACTCTTCCCACTCCTCACTGCAAAAACTGTTCTTGATAAATAAGGAAGATAAATAAGTAGCTGTCAGTACAATGAGTACTAAGTGAGGAGGAAAATTAAAGGTGAAACTAAGGCACATGTTCTTAAAATGCCAAAATACCAACATGAGAAAATAAATACTTACACCTAACAGTAATGACAATTTTTTCTTCAGTGGCAAGTTATACTACATAAGTGTATGTTGCAAGAAGGTATTCTGTGGAAGTAGTTAACCTTACTGGGCAAAAAAGAGCTTGTATTCCAAATGCCTAAGTCTGATAAGTCACCTTAATATATACATCCCTTTCCTTCCCCTAAATTTCACTTTCAGTGGAGAAGTCAAACCAGAAAACCCCAAATGATTAAGAATTACTTTCCCTGTTCCCTGTTCCTCACTCTTATTCCCACACAGTGTGTACATATGCATGGATGGTGAAGAATTATGTCTCATACAAGTTTCCCCCTTGCTACCCTAAAGCTGTAAACCTTCCCCGACTTCTAAAATGCAGTGGAGAGGTAAATAAGCAATCACCACTAATCTTTCTCCCTCTGCAGTGTTTCTAAACCTGTGGAAATTCCAAAAGCTACCAAGATAAAACGACAAAATGAAATAACACACCCAAGCTTGAAGTATAGGCACAGGTTATTTGAGTGAGCATGGTGACAAAAAAGAAAAACATAAAACCAGATCATAAGATCAGTCAGAACAATTCTACAAATTGTTGATACGTTGAGATAGCCAGGTGGATATGTGTTTTTTGAGGAATGAGACATTGCTTCTATTTGAGTGCTCAAAAATGCAAACGACTTTGTCAGTTTTGTTTGCAGAGGTCGCTTTCCATTTCTTTGTCAACTGGTATTAAAGACCTGGCCCTGAGGCAGCTGCAGAACCTAATGGATCCTTTAGAGTCTTTTGGCTGTGATTCAAAGGCGGAGAAGATACTCTAACTCAGTACCAACGATGCACCTTCAACTTGCTATTAAAACAATAATACAAACACAGGGATAATGAGAGAATAAGGAGAGAAATGAAGAAAGAAATGGAAGACTCTGGAAGGGAATGGATCACAGGCTCTCTACGACTAGTTTCTATAACAAGTGTGTGAGCCAATCTCCTACAAGAGGGAAATGGCTTATTTGATCTAATATGCCTTTCTCTTCTTGAATTTCCACAGTATGGAGAATCAATACAAGGGAAATTAAAGCATCAGGAGCAGACTCACATTTCCACTTGTGTGTTCCTATCTCAGCAAACTCTTATTAAGATAGAAGTATTTACCTTAAGTGCCCAGTTCATGTGTGCTGCAAGAGGAGGAAGGATTTCAAAAGGATACATGCTTCTTCTGTGTAGGGGACAGCAGAATTAGGTCCACCCAATATGTAGCTGTAGAATGAGACTTCCAGAGTGTAGCAGTAGGATGTATCATTTAACAGCCCACCAAGAAAACGCCGGCCTGTTCCTGCCTTCACAGCATCTCTGTTGAATGATGTACTGGACTGCAGGAGGAAGAACACAGAGACATGAAGAGAGTTCATGTGTGGAATATGGGAAGGGTTGGGAAGGAGTCTGTTAAAATAGAAAACAGTTAAATTCACATTGCCAAATCTCATTTACGCTATGTGAGACTACACTATTTTTTGAGCATGGCCTAGAGAGACCATTAATGGAAACACAGTTCTGGCACACAGACTATAAATAATGCCTTGCAGACTTTCACAGAATTAATCTCAGTTCACTAGTAACATCAGCTTTTCTCCTCCCCTTTTGGATAACACAAAGAAAGCTTGTCATATGCATGAGTTGAAAGTGAACCTTCCAGACCCTCCATTCTCAAAAGTTAAGCTGGACTATTATTTGGATATTGGGTTCCTTCTCTGTGCTGCGTTCCCCTGTATCATAACCATTCTCCCCCGCCCCTTACCCTGGACTCTTTTAAGCAAAGTAGAAATACAGTGGCATTTACATTTTAGTGAAACTTTCTCACCTAAGATATTTGACTGGTTCTTAAATTAGGTCACACAAATTTCCACTTCACTAACTTAAATGTTAAGTGGGTGTTGCTCTCTGGGTGGAAAAATATACTGCATTATTTTACAGCATAAGCAGCACAGTATAAAATGCAGTATTTTGTGCTATTACTGAAGATCTGGCTTTAAGAACCCTACAGCTTTATGACTATTCATTTGGGGGGTGGAGGGAAGGAATCCAAGTATTTCCATAAACGAGTTTTAGCTCTCCTTTGAAGGCGTGACATCCGGAGACTAAAGGGGAACTCATCTTCAGGTTGATTGAAGTCTCGGAGATTGTTCCTACCAACTAGACAGAAAAATGGATTCTGATTTCATTTTAGTTATCAGACTCTATTCACAACCTCATAACCATTAGACTGTGTCAATCTGGGCTCAGCACAAGACAGTGACCACCACAAAAAAAAAAAAAAAAGACGAAAAAAAAGTTATGCAACTTGTATCTGTTGCATAAAAAGCCTTAATATCTCCTGCTTTAAGGCTTTTATGTTGCTAGTGAAACATAAAGGACCCTTAACATTGCTTACTGTTCAGTCATTGTGCCCCCGGTGAATTCTTTGAGCTAACCAGGGTCCTCCTATTGAGCCTTAAGGCTAGTATCTTTTCTTGCTAACACAATGTTAGTATTTATCAAGTCCATCTCTTTTCCAAAACAGGGAAAATAAGATTTCTTTCTTATTTTAAAAAAATAGATGCAATGGTTCAAAATGTAAAACTTCTCTAGACTGAGAAAATCAGACTAATACTGAAATGAACAACAATTTTGGATGAATAGTGTATACCAGAAGATATGAAGAATGGAAATACCTGTGGGTTTATTAACATTCTGAATGGTTTGAAGTCTCTCTCATGTTATAAAAAGGAAGGCTTTCCAGGTTAATTAGAAAAAGATGGCATTGGGTTTCTTATTAGCATTATATATAGGAGTTTCCAAATGCAACGTGTTGTCTTTGTGGTAACATAATATTTAGCTTTGTGGTAAATTGTACACAGAATGCATTCTGCTATGTACATATCATATCATTTCCTCCAAATTACATGGCAGAAACCTTGAGGATATTCTGAATAACTATGGGACAGGGAGGTAAAGTGCTCATAAGGACTGATGGGGAAATTAATTGTTAATATGATATATGGAATAAAATACTTAAGGAGGTCTACAAGAGGGAACGTTCTCTGACTTCCTGCAAAAGAAGCCTTCAAAAGACTACCGAGACCCTGAAACTGAGGGAAGCTTTGTCTTCAGTTAAACTTCAGAAACATAAAGGAAGATGATCAGGCTCTGGGGATTGCTTCATAAGTCAAGTAAACATTGATTTCAATGGATCATGCTTCATGTTCAAATGAATGCCTGTGGTGCAACTTTCAATGCATGAAAGCATCAGCTGATGAATATGGGTGTATGGAGCCAGCTCAAAGGAAGAAAACAAACATGTCAGAAGATGGTATTTTGGTTTGTGAGGAGAAGCATCACTCACAAGGGGAATGAGCTGATTCTATGGCTGTGTTTGGCACAGTGAAAACGAGGAATATGTCAGAGAAGTGATTCAGGGCAGACATTAAGGACAGAAGTATTCCAGTGATTAGGAGACTCAGTTACTGATATGGAGTATCTATGAAGATTATGGAATCTCATCAACTATGTTTAAGAACAAATTGGACATGTATCTGCTAAGTATAGTTCATGTCTTTGGGATACAGTTTGGACATGAGGTCCTTTTCAGCTCTATTTCCCATTATTTCAGTCATCAGGCTAGATGAAGGTTATGAGTTGAATTCCTCATAGATGATTCTTGAGATAAATCTTACATAATATTTTCATCACAGTTCTTGGCACAGTAAAGGAAGACCATGCCAACAAAATTTGCTGATGACACACTGTGGAATGAATCATCATTATGGAGGAGGCTCTGAATATCATACAAAAAAAAAAAAAAAAAAAAAAACAGTGGGATGACTTTGAGGACCGGAGTGATAATAGTCTGAAACTCAACTGCACAAGTGCCAGGTCATGTACTCAGAGCCTAATAAAAAACAATCTCTGCTATAAGCTGAAACCTCATCAGCTCGAAATAGATGAAGAGAGAGTCTGATGTATTACTTCACTGAAGTGATTTTTGCTTTCTGGCAGAAAATAACTCAGAGTTGGGTCTAGTTATTGGCAAAATTATACTTGCCATATTTCAAAAGTGAAGCATAAGTAGTTTAAATAATTGGAAGAAGGTTTTGTAAATGGCAGAAAAAAAGAAAACAAGATTTGGATCTTTCCAGAGTTTCAATTTTTATAATGCTATTTTGTGGGGTTTGGGGTTTTTGGTTTTGTTTTGTGGGATTTTTTTCTTTCTTTTTTTTCTTTCTTTCTTTTTTTTTTTTTGAGGGGGGGTTGTTTAATAGAATAGTTCCAATTTCAGCTGTGCAAAATTACTTGAAATGGCAATGGCATTAATAAAATCGCCTGTTCATTTCTTTGTCAGGTAGTGCCACACTTCCAGGAATAAAAAGAAGCTGAACCTTCATTTAGGTGCATAAATGTAGATTTTGGAGGTTAACTTTGTCCTCATTTTGAAAAAAATCTGATGTCATAGACCAACTTGATGTCTTGAGTAAAAAGTAAGATCTCTGACTTGACTCAAGAGGTTTGGGGTAGAGAAAACATAAAATAAACCTTTCAAATATGAACACATGCATGTTTTGATACAGCAGCTTGGGCTTGGCTCTAAAGCAAATGCTATATGCCAGAATGTGATTTGATGTTTTAGACGAAAAGAAGAAAATTAGTTGAATTTTCTTGAATCTGTAATGACAAAGAAGGGCAGCAGGTCCTTGCTTGAGTCCAACCTTCTACCCACTGTTTCAAGTTGAGATAAATGGAGTGGAGAAATAAACAGGCAAAATTTTGACTCCTCACCAGAACTGATCTTGACAACTGATAATGCTCAAACAAAGGCTATGAAAAGCCACGTATTATCATGGCAAACAAAGAGCCTTTGCATGCACATTTATTTAATCAAATTCTAATCTGGGGAAAATGGGGAGGTGAGGGGGCGAGGGGGGCAAGAGGGGAGAAAGAACACAGATAAAGTTGTCCGCAAATGAGTCTCTTGTTTTTCTGGGAGAATCTATTGCCCTAAACTCCTTGCAAAGCTGAACTGAAGTCATCATTAAGCAAATGCACTGAGCAGGCACAGCAGGAGAACAGCTAAACAAATATTTATTTCTCCAAGGCTGAATCGCATGGGAGTGTCAACAACAGCAACAGCAAAAAGTACAAAGTCTGGAGGGTGGGAAGAAACACCAAAGACTTTGAAGTTCTTAAATAGGGATATCTGTACAAAATCAACAGTAATTCGTTATTAAAATGCACTGATACATTAAAGCTCACAGAAGGACTCTGTTTCCCAGATTGTGTGAGAAAAATTCAGTGAACAAATAGCTATCTACAGGGTTAGGAGGTGCCAAGCAACAAGAATCCAGTGTTAAAAGAGCAGAGCAGGAAGAATGAAGGACTCCCGCGCTTTCTGGTGGGAAGAAACCCATCAGAAAACTACACCTGGATTTTACACACACTTGAGAGCCTTAAGATGTGCTGACCCTCTCTCTACATCTCAGGCATTAGTGGCAGCTTCCCCAGGCCTTCCTACCAGATTTCATTCCTCCTCCACATGCTATGCTGAATACCTTCTGTATGACCAGTTTCCCCATTGGGAATGACAGTGATCAGCCAGGCAGCACAAAGAAATTTGTGAACCAGTTGGACCTTATTCAGACATTGCAACAGACAAAGAGATGTGTGGAAGGAAATAAGAAAAAAAATTGCAAGCAAATTCTTTCTGGAGTGATCTCAAAGCAGAAAAAAATTTGGCCCTTGGTTAGACCTCTCAATGTACCAGAACCCCTGTCTCTAGGGCAGTCTTGTCTCTTGGCTGGTAAGGACGCTCTCAACCACACAATGTCTCTCCTCAGTGAATTCAGCCCACTGGTAGCTAGCTTACAAGCTCAAAAGCTTAGACAGCTCCCATACGGCTGAGGGATACTCTTGGTTTCTTGGCACCGCTCCATCGTCCTGCTAACAACTACTGAAATGAATGCCCTGAGGAGTCCATATTCATAAAGTACGGGCAGGCAGTTTACTGATTGCCTCTGCATGCCTGTATCAATCTATCACAAGAGTGGCTCCAAAAGACCAAGAAGGGAAAACAATGCATTTCTCACACATCCGAGACTGAATTTTCCCAAGTCCACCCTTTGGCACCCTGATGGACTAGGAATCTGAGTGGTTCTGCTTGGTAGGACCTCCTTCTCAGCTTATGTGTGACTTTGCAGGGGACTTGACTTGCTACAGCATCAGAAAACCTAAGGTTGCACAAAAGGAAAACTTGGAGGCAAAACCCGGTAAATCTGGGTCCACTGTTCAGTGGAAGAAGAGATGCCAGAAAGGGCTGAAATGTCAAGCAGGCTCAGTGTCCAGC